AATAATATTTCATATGATGATGCTGTTTGAAATGATGTTAAATTTGTTTCAGTTAAATCCGAAGATTTTGATGCAAGAGTTGATATACGAGAATAAGGTAATGGTGCACGATATGTGCTAGTAGTAGAATACCATAATGGTAGACCAACAAAAAGAAATAGAAAACTAAATATGCAACGATTGATGAATAAATAGAATTTTTCATCTGGAAGTTCTTTTTTTATTAACGTTAAGATGTTCATATTTGTAGTGAAAATCTGAAAAAAAATTATTAAAATATACTTTTACATTAGTTTTGTTTTTTGTAAGCAACACCTACAACAATGAGTTTGATTTCTAGAATTATCAAACTTTGATGGATGTGAAGTGATAACGACAGATTTAGATTGATCAAAAGTCTATTATACTTGGATTTTAGACGTTGAGTAAGAGTGCTATGATACATGTTAATGAACATCCTCACTCATAACATGTGCCCGTAAGTCATAATCCTAAGGAATCAGAGCTCATCTAAATCCTCTATGCTAATTTCACATCGATCAATCTTTATCTAATTTGAAACGTTGTATATAATATTATTAAAATTTAGTTTCTCACTTATACTAGAGAAATATGAAAGGAGAAACAACTACTATCCTACTATAGTTGAGTAAATAATTGAGTCCTATTTTATGTAGAGTTTGGTAGATTCTCAATATACATCACTATATTTTGATAAACTCAAAAGAAACAAATACAATACAGTATACTGATGAATATCAAGAAATGAATTCTTAATTTTAGCAAAAAATTAAAAAGTTTAAATTAATCTTAAAACGAAGAACAATCTAATTTCGTATGAATGAACTATTTTACACAACTTATCAGTAAACTAAATACGATAATTTTGGAAAGTGAAATTTTAATTTATTTTTTATAAGATTTTCGATTTAGATTTTCGAAGTATGAAAAAGTATAAAACAATGTGTAAATTTACTAATTATAATAATGACCAAAAAAAAACGAGTGAGATGAGACAAGGTAAAATCAAAAGAGAATATTTGATTGGTAGGAAAAAGTATTGAAAATGGAAAAAAAAAATTAGTGAAGGTTTGAGTTTTATTGTAGATGTCGTTGAAAGTTTCCACAGTAAAATTTAATTTTTTTAAAAAAAAGAATCAAAAATTTACAATTAAAAATAAATTTAAAACTTTTTCTAATTATTTAAATATTTGTTTTTGGTTCAAGTTGCTAAGCAACAATAAATTTCTTATCATGATCGATGTCATATTTGATTCAAAGGAACAAGAAGTGTTCTCTTTATTTTTTTTTTTTGATCAATGGCTTCAGTAGCACCAGATGAAATAACTAAAATAAAACAAATAATTTCACATCATCTATCACAATCAGATATTAATAATGCAATTCGTGATGTTCTTGCTGATTATGCTCAACGACATCCGAATTCAGGTCCAATTAGTCGAGATGCTTTAATACGTGAATTAAGAAATCGTGGTATTGTTGATTCTATGATGCAAAATATTCAATTTGGTACTCAACAACCATCTCCTAGACAACGTCAATCACTTGTACCATCAAAACCAACTGTAAATACGGTTGATACTGATCAATTAGTTTCTGTACCATTAGAACAAGTTAATTTTGATGCAAATAGACGACATCTTTATTTACAATTTCTTAATGGAAAAGCTTTTACTGGTAAAAATCGATATGAAGAAGTTAATTTTTTTTTCTAAATTAAAATTCATTTAGATTATCTTAATGAACCACAAACTGAAGGCTATCCAGGCTATGCTTCATCATCATTAGTATCATCATTTAGTATATCAATTTTATTTCGTAATCAACGTTTTCGTACAAGACCTTTTGCATGTGCTGGTGAACCATACGTTAATCAGGGATTTTTACTTGAACTACATAAAGACAAAGTACAAGGTAAAACATTTCGCTTGAAACATATACTAAGTAATTATTACTAATAAAACATATTTGTTAACACTGCAAGAAAATTTACCTATAGAGAATAAATTTGTACAATTCATGTAGTTAGAATATGAATGATAATAAATACAAAACGTTATGAAAACATATTTGATAGATGCGATCATATCTATAAAAAATAATGAAATCTATAATACACATTAGGATATTCCTATAACAGGTGTTCCAATATGAATGCAGAAGTACATTGCAAATGATATTTTTTGAAAGAAGGATTGCATTTCTGGTGTCATCGTTAGTATCCAGCGTGATCAAGGTTTTTGGTCATGGGTCGTGATTGTGAATTACGAAAATTAGTTTAAGATTGTTAGGACCTCTTTACGTAAACTATATGTATTATTGATGAAGATCCAATATATCGATCCTATGAATAAAAGCAACGAGAAGGTGTTGAAACGAAAGAAAAGAAAAGAAAAGTTATCTAATCAAGCGAATTATGGACAACTCAGATGCAATTCTAAAGATGTTGTCAAAGAGAAATCTAATGTCATTACTTTCCAGCAAGATTATTCCTGTTAATCTCTCGAAACAAAACGAGAATGATCATATTTTAGCATTGTTATTATTCAAAATGGTAAATCAGAATTTTGTCAGCTGATTTTTGACCATTTATCCAATTTCTGCAAGACTTTTGACTTATAAAAAGATTGCCAAAAAAACTGGCAGAAAATTAGACAAATTGTTGAAATTCAGATGACAAAATCCCATAGAATCTTCAAAATATAAACTATGATTATGCTATGCCTGATTTATGTACGTCACTTATTGCATAAAAAAGTAGTTGCAGATACTGAATCTATGCAAAAAAACGAGATTATTTGTGTTTTGAAACATCTAATCATTTAACAAAAAAGCAGGATGTATAACTATTTTAATGTCTGTGGCCAAAGTCTAATTACGATCATGAGCTTTTAAGAAAAATTAGTGACGATGATGACTGTAATCGTGGATCATACTGGGCCCTAGTCATTATTCACTCGTATCCTCATACAGTGTTGTACTACCTAGCAATACTGAGAAAAAGTACATTTTCTCATCAGAGAAAAAATTCAGTTAGAATATACTTTTGCATTCATTGTGAAACACCAATTATATGAGTAT